CCAGACCACAATAACAGCTGATACTGCTTGTAGTAGGTTGAGCGAGGTCGTTTTTCATTAGTGGATAGATAGGCGATGTTAATTTCTCGCATCCGGCAAATGAGGCCACATCTTCAGAACAGAACCCCATAAAGTCGCATTTTACGACATGCTTGTTAGGGAGGCCCTGACCCCGATGTTGCCCCGAAACTTACACAGGGGACAGTCTATTTAAAACTTCATGGAGGGCAACGTTCAGTTGAAAAGAGTTCTAGGTATAAACAGACGGTTAGTTCAACGTTAGTCTCCCCAGACCCCACCCATATACACACTAGCTCACTTCTGATTGGTAGTTCCAGAGCCTCGTGAACTTCGCCCACAGTTACGGGGGTGTTCCGCAATGCCGTTGATATATTGTTGTATATTTCAGCACGCTAGCGCTTTTAACACTCCAAAAACATGGAGAAACTGGGTCTAACACAACCCCCCCCCCCCTCCCCCTTCTGCCAGAGAATGCTGAAACCTATGTCACAGGCATTCTCTTTTTCGAAATGAAAACGTAAATGCAAAAGATCACAGAAACCAAACAACAGAGCAGGACACGCCCGTAAGCTTCAGGAAAGTCGACCAGCCCAACAAACTTGTGAATGAAAAGTAACATACTCTACTTAGGGAGACTATCGTCGAACTAACCAAACAGACAGACAGCATCCACGTGGAAGTGTTCAGGATGTTTGCTTCAAGTTTTTACGTGAAAGTCATCTCTTCATTCTGTACCATATCATTCGGTTTTCTGGTGTAGGTTTTTCGGAGACGGGGTTCCTAGAGCTGCAGTTTTCGTGCTTTGTGACGCTCTGCATATTCATCGCACCTCTGTGGCAGGAGAGACCAAGCAACAAATATTTGATGCAGTATTCTTCTTAGCGTTCACCGGCTGTTCACCCCGCCGGAAAGTTATGGTTGTTCGTCCACTTCTGAAATTTGGGTTTGTTTCAGAACTCGAGCTTCTGGCTTATTTGTATGCAGACCGCTGGTTTCTTGTCTGTCAGGCAGATGCATTCTGCCTTCAAAGGAAACATCTAATATGTTACCTTTTACGACATGCTTGTTAAGGGGAGGTAGATCTATTCTCCCCCCCCCCCCCCCCCATTACCCGGAACTCACACGAGAAATTTTGGTGCAATTATGCTCACCCTCTCTCACCGTTAAATACGTCTTTTTTTTTTTAAATCAAAGAGTGAACAGACACCACATAGAAGTGTCTGCATCAAAGAGTGAAAAGACACCACATAGAAGTGTCTGCATCAAAGAGTGAACAGACACCACATAGAAGTGTCTGCATCAAAGAGTGAACAGACACGACATAGAAGTGTCTGCATCAAAGAATCAAAGAATTCCAGAGAAATTTGACTAAAAAGCTCAACAAAATGGGAAAGAGGAAAACGTGCACAAAACAACACAACGTAACGTTTCGGCCGGGCAGCCTTTTTCAAACATAAGTGAACTACACAAACGAGGAATGGAGAGTATGTAGATCTCTAAGGGGTGACGTGAGCGACATTTAAAAAAATCAAAAGTTTCAAAACAAAACTAGGAATTCATTACCGCACAACTTTAATTCATGAACGGAAGTCGATGAAGATGCCACAACTTCTACGATGACGTTAATGAATCTTTTGTATGGAATAAATAGTTCTAGCTTTGAGCGCCAAATCTAATAAATGATTCGAATTTCAACGCCTAGTGGGAATGCTGCCAGACCAAATTGCATATGAGACTTTTCATAGCAGAACATCTGGGAGGAAGGTGAGAGGAAGACATAGAAAGAGATAGATAAATGGTGACGCAGAAACCTGCAGAAATATGAACAAATCCATCACCCAAACCACCAGAGAAGCGCAAGACAAAATACAGAAAAACCACGACACCGGATTACAACCTGGTATCAGTAGGACGACAAAAGAAGAAGGAGGAGAAAAAGAAACAGAAGATACTGCTGACACCCTACTGCCGACACATGAACTTTGACCAGAAAACTATCTCAACATGGAAATTCTCCGGGGTATACACAAAAATTCCGTTAAATGAATAAGGTCTTTATGGGATTGTAAACTGTAAACAAATATTTCTTGAGTAGTCGGATAATTGCTGGCGCACAACACTGACAAGATGACCTACTTAAACTACATTTGCGTGAGTGAACGCTTAATTCACAGGGTTTTTCAAACCAATGGGATGGGACATCAAATCGGGTCACGAAGGATTTTCTGTGGGATCGAGCACTTCCGCCTCGAGTGCTGGAGGTCCCGGGTTCCCACCCCGGCCAAGTTTTGGATTTTTTCACATGGACTTCTAGTAATTTGCCCTGATCTCTGGGTAGTAATATCGGACGCCCCTAGGTTCTTAAATTTCTGTCATCATCAGCATCATCAATTTCCACTTCTGTCGTTAAGCGTTGTGGGGAGGAACAGTTTGCAATCCATTGCCTGATGGGCAGCAATGGCTACTGTCATTCTATGTCGATGTGCTAGCGGGAAGAGGAAAAAGATAATATCATTTCTAACTTTGTCTCGGATGGTTGTTGGCTTTTCTCAGGCATCTCATTTCACAGGTGTAAATTGTACTTAGGTGAGCCTTTGTATGTCCAAGTCTGGCACTGGTAGCACAGTGTTGTAATGAATATGCTGTTTATAGTCTGTTTCTTGGCGCATATTCGTATGTTTGGAAGTGCAATGAGGTGAATCCCCAGGGATATTCTAGAGTTTAAAGATTGACGGGACAAGGTCAGAGGGTCAGGGAAACGAGAGACACCGGGGAAACACATGTCCCGAAGATCCCGGGTTCTGTGAATGGAGTAAATGAAAAGCCTGGGATTGGAACGAAGGTTTTGAACGGAGAGACGAGGTGGAGTCAGCTGTGTTTTAACCATTTGAGAGGTAGGTTGTTTGATGGTACGACCGAGGTGAACGTCATTGTGAACTGGAGAAACGCCGTTTGGAAAGTTCGAGTGTCTGAGGAGAATTGATTCTGAATGACAACGTCTTGTATCTGAGAATATTTGTGTTATGGTGATTCAGATGCCAATACCTGAGCGAATGGAACGCTCTAACTTGCAGGTAACTGCAATCATTGTTTAACTGTCGTCTTGTTGTGGGAGGCTATCGTGAGCAGGTGTCAATGACTAGAGATAACTGTGGACATCGATTGAATAACTTACTATTGTGCCACAATAAACGATATCAACGTTATCATTGTGTTTTAAGTGTACGATCATAAGTCCAGACTTTACAGCTTGATTGAGGCACGTAAAATGTCTAGAAAGTAGAACGAGCCAACCGCAGTATTATCACGCAAAATGTCCATTCTGTTTATAATTTGTTTCTTGGCGCACACACGTATGTTTGGATGTCTTAATAGCGGTGTCAAATCAAGTCCCCAACAAACTAAGCATCAACCAATCAAGTCCCCAACAAACTAAGCATCAACCAATCAAGTCCCCAACAAACTAAGCATCAACCAATCAAGTCCCTAACAAACTAAGCATCAACCAAACAAGTCCCCAACAAACTAAGCATCAACCAATCAAGTCCCCAACAAACTAAGCATCAACCAATCAAGTCCCCAACAAACTAAGCATCAACCAATCAAGTCCCCAACAAACTAAGCATCAAACAATCAAGTCCCCAACAAACTAAGCATCAAACAATCAAGTCCCCAACAAACTAAGCATCAAACAATCAAGTCCCCAACAAACTAAGCATCAACCAATCAAGTCCCCAACAAACTAAGCATCAAACAATCAAGTCCCCAACAAACTAAGTATCAACCAATCAAGTCCCCAACAAACTAAGCATCAACAAAACCAATCAAGTCCCCAACAAACTAAGCATCAACCAATCAAGTCCCCAACAAACTAAGCATCAACCAATCAAGTCCCCAACAAACTAAGCATGAACAAAACCAATCAAGTCCCCAACAAACTAAGCATCAAACAATCAAGTCCCCAACAAACTAAGCATCAACCAATCAAGTCCCCAACAAACTAAGTCCTCAACCAGCCATCAAATTAAGAAACCAAGTCCCCAGTCAAACAACAAATTAACGCATTCGACAGCCCAGCAACCAGACATACTTTTCTTGATAATTCCAAAGACGACACAGTGTTCATTTTTTTCGCCTACTACAGACAGGAGTTATAGTAGCCCTGAATATATTTATTGTTAGGTCAACTTTTTCTTCGCGTTCACCAGTTGTAAACTACGAGGAAAAAGCGGGTTGTTTGTTCACTTCGGGACTTTAGTCTTGTTTTGCGTGCACATACGTTTCACAGACCAGGCTTATTTGTAAACAGACAATTGGTTCCTTCCCTATCAGACAGATGCAATGCGACTTCGTAGGAAGCTTCCCTAATTAGTCGACCCCTACGACATTCTTGTTAGGGAGGCAGTGGGTCTATTCTCACCACCACTCCCTCCCCATGTGAACTGAAACCCACAAGGGGAGTTAGGTTAACTAAAGGTAAAGTCGTGAGATGTGAACCAGCGTCACTGCACACGGTTATAAATCATAAGTGCTGTGCCATAAGTACGGACAGCTAACTAATTCCGGCCTTTAGCAATTATGCTGAGCCACGGCCATCTTGAGGATATATGCATATGCAGTCGGACGTGGCTGAGCCTCTTCGAACCATAAATATTCTATTGTATTTAGGCTCAACTTACTGGTACAGACGTTATTCAGTAAAAACAGCTTGGAACTACCCAATCAGGCCACCAAACCTCTCCTTCCACCCCAACCAACCAAGAAACAAACAAACCGACTCCACCAACTATACAAGCAACTATAAACTCAAGTTAGACGCCCGAAACAAGATTCCCGCCAAACACTGTAACAAACTGTAACAAGTTACACAATATAGCATCGGGAATTCCCGCAAGACCACTTTCACTTTCACTGGGTTCAAAGTTCACAGCTTGTCTTGTCCCTGCAGGATCCACATCTATGACTGTCCCACAGGAAAAATGGATCCTCTAGACAAAAAGCGCAGTGCTAATATCATCAGCCGAGCATTGCGTGAATATTTGCGTTTATTACAAGACAGACCTATTGTTACAAAAGCTGCAACAAAGTAGGTTTTAGTAATTTAGCTACCAAAACTTGCAAGTACGTCACTGACTTAATTAAGTCACTTCGTCTTTGTATTGATTATGTTTTCTGTTTTACTAATGTATCTAATATAACTAACACTTTTACAGGTTAAGTTTAGACTCCTTGAAGCATCGTTGGCAGTGTGCTTACTAGTCGGGAAGCCGTAGCCATTAGCACTAGACATATAGTGTGATCCTCTACCTACCTATAGGGGAAACGTGAGACTTTGACTAACAACTGTCTATATCTGTCGGCTACCCCCCTTCCCCTTCTTTCCCTCCACACACATACCTATGCAAACCTATTGTCTTGGTACCTTTTAATTATTACTTCTGTATCTTGTTTTTCCCTTGCCATGTGACGGAGTCCTGTATACCCTTACTGGTTGGTTCTGTCACCATTTTGTGTTGTCCATCTAGCAGGGCAAGCTAGATGTTGTGAAGGTACTTTAAGAAGGAGTGAACAGTGTGGAGACATGAATCGATCAAGATGGTCTGATGAGAATGGTGCTGCAAGGAGTTACCAGTAAAGGACCCCTTTCCCATGCCTTCTGGCATATTGGGCATATAGGGCTAGACCTATATTATATAGACCAATCGGCACTCAGTAAGTGATGTGATTAACATCATGCCAACCTCCTTTACTTCCCAGGACTATACTCAGTGCCTATTTAAGCCTGGGTCAGCCTGGGAGCCAAAGTAATTTTGAAAAAAATAATTGTCCAGCTCTTTCAGGACCTGAAACTAAAACTTTCAGATCCACCGGTGATCGATTCAATGAAAAGGCAAGTATACACAATCAGTCTCTTAATGGTACCATCAGAATCATAACTCTGCACTAGCTGCTGAAGAAGCAGATGGAGCATTTATGGGAATGTCCCAAGTGCTGTAATGTTGGTTCTTAATTCAACATTCACATTCTTTCTACCCGCTGGAGTTACCAGCTGTGAGATCCTGCTGCATAGGCAACAGATGGTCTCTACAATACTGTCCAGGATTTATAGAGAGGAGGGACTTTCTCCCCGGCTTTAATTAGTATCACCATGGGAGCTGTAATTTCCATGTCTGTCTATAGATAGCACAATGGAACACTATCATCTGAGAAGGTGGAAAGGGGCCAACAGGCTTGTTGTTACCATCATTCTCCACATTATGTTTCCATTTAAGGTTTGAAGGTTTGAACAACAGATCAACATCATGACACAAGGGTAGTAACCCATAAGTGCCCCGTTCTACTTTTAACTCAAGCCTAAGTTTAAAGAATCTCAGCACAGTGCAGGAACTCCGTAGCATCTGTGAGCATCCTGAAATACTTTGTGTAGATTTTTAACTCAAAATTTTGTCTGTGCAGCCCAGCTAGAGTACTCTTTTCGATTTCCAACTGCCCAGGGATTTTTTTATGTGTACGGCAATACACACGGGCCTTTGATCTTACTACCTGGAGACAAGAGGAAATTACTAGAATTCCATGTGAAAAAATCCCAGCCTTCCCTAGGCCGTGAAGCCAGGACCTCCAGCATTCAAGGCAGACGCTATCCTTTGAGACCACTCAGCACCCCAGCTTCATAGCAAACAGTCGTCCCATAGTTGCTCCGTTTTTGTGCCAATGAAAACCACACAGAATGTCTACTACTATCCCTTGTTAAACAAAATTTCATAGACAGTCTTAGCAAATCCAACAGCTTGCACTTGCCTCAAATGTCAAATGTGCCAGTAGGAACAGTCAAGAACTAAAAATGCAGTTCATAGTCAATTGAAACAGCAGTTGAACAGATCAGTATCTGCACATGCAATTAATTGCATAAGGCACTACATGTTTCCATTTATTAATTCAGTCTACAGGTTACCCAGCATTTATTTGCTGCTAGTTTATACCTCTACATATATGTCACATTGATTTCAGAAACAATTAGGATGATATGGCTCCATATGGCACAACCTGTTGTGTACAAGCACACATCTAGGATAAGAAACTGCAATACCTACCCATGAACCACCACTGGTTATTGCTGTAACTATCCAGACCCAAACAGACAAAGTAATAACTTCTTCGAATAGAATGAATTGAAGTAACACCTGCTTGGTACTAGAAGAGTTATAATCTGTTTGCAATTGAATTTCTACAGTGCTGTGGTTGCTGGACTAGGAAACATTATATCCCAGATTCTGGCTCCGGACCAGTCGACAGCTGGAAAGATCAACTGGAGAAGTGTGTTTGCCTACACCTCATTCGGGTACTAAATTACTTCTTTTTCCTATGTAAATTCATTTGTTTGATTGTTGTTGAACTTGTACTTCACTTTCTGTTCACGCTCAGACCTCCAAGTTTATGACTTTACCTAAATGCATTAGTTAGTTTGATGTTGATGACATGTAAGCTGTTAAGATCAGATGGAATGAGATTTTCTTTGTATGGAGTAGGTCGCATAATCCAGAGGTTGCAGGTAGTGAGAGTCACATGGATATTTTGCCCAGGCTATTCAGGTGTGTTTGGGAATGAGCAGGCAGATAGGTTAGCTGGACTGACCCCTTGTGGGGGGTGTATTGTAACTGCACAAGTAGAGGTGATCTCTAACCTGTGCAGTGAGTTAACAAGTACAATTGAAGTTACTGAAAACCTGTACCAGGAGAGAACAATACATCTGGGAGTGTCTGTGGGCACACTCACTAGAGTCTCAGGGAAAAGGTAAGACAAGTAGTTACCCAGATGACAACAGGTGCCATACGTGTGGAGAACTTTCATTGACTGTTGAGGAAGAATACTAAGCTAATATAGATTTTTCCTGAATAATATGACGTCGAATCTTGACCAAGATTAGTGTCATTTATTTCCTGGCAAACTTTCACTAGAAGATTAATCACATGAATCTTTCAAAAACCTGATTGATTCCTTGACTGGTCTGTTATATTTGATGTCATTGCATGCATGACACACTCATATGAACCATGTCTCTTGGCTTTTGTATTGCCTGTATTCTTTAAGTATAGTTTGCATGTTTTCATGTATTTAGAAGTGCCTTTTCTTCCACTTTTTGCTCAGTGTGAAACAAGCTAGTTGCTAACTATTAGGGCTGTACCTAATAGTGATTTTCACTATTCGGCCGAATACGAATAGCGGGACCAACTATTCAGACGAATATGAATAGTGTATAGTGTTTAAAATATATCTAAACAAACAAAAATACACATTCATAATGTCAAATGTACTCGAAACTTTTACTTTACAAAAAGTAGCACAGAATAGTCATCTTCCTTTTTAGCATTCTGAGCCCTTGAGGTTTACTGCTGCAGATATCACTCGTCTCCATTCATCTCTCTGGCTGGCCTTCTCTTCACAATTTGTGACAACAGTTGTTTGCAGGACTAGTTGGACATTATCTCTCGAACTTTTTTGTCTGCCTCGTGGTCTACACCCATTCCTCTCTCAGGTGTATACAGTTTTTACTTCTCTGTCACCTGACATTCTTTCAATATGCCCCAATCATTTTAGTCTGTTAGCTCTCATGATGCCAGTGATCAATGGTGATCTATGTGTTACTTTGTTGCTTCTCACTCTCCATTCCCCGCTGTTAGCATCTTTGATGGGTCCAAAGATTTGTCGTAAGACTGTTTTCGAAAACCTGTAATAAGGCCTTATCTCTTTTATTTCTGCTTCAAGTTTCAGAGCCATATAAAACGACTGGTCTTATCAAAGTTTTATATATTTTGATCTTGGTGTTGCGTGACAGACACTTTGACTTTAGCAGATGTTGAAGAGCATAGTTTACTTTATTTTTATATTGTATTCTAGATTGTATTTCTTCTCTCAGCATGTTGGAGCAGTTGAAGTTTGCACCCAAGTACTTATATGTTTCTGTTCGCTTGATTTTCATATTATCGACTTGGGTGTGGCCGGAGTTTATATTCTTTCCATGTCTAGTTAGTATTCGTACTGAATAGTAAACATTTAAAAACATTTTATGTTTTGTATCCTTCAGTGAGTCTGTGGTAACTAATAACTAGGAAAGAAAGAATCCTAAGTTACTAAACTTAAAAATTGTCACTGACAGCTTAGTTAATGCAGGAAAGCTGCATTAGCTTTCAACAAAACCAATCGTTCCATGTTGTCAGCATTAAGGCCGTGTATGCAGAAGCGGGTGTAAGGTAACCACTATTCGTATTCGGCCCGACCGCAACTATTCAGCCGAATACCGAATAGTCAATAGGTCCGCTATTCGGCCCCGAAGCAAATAGGAAGCGAATATTCAGTACAGTCCTACTAACTATATACATATATCTATGTATATATGTATTCCTTACTAGCTTTCCAGAACTAGCATTCATAAGTTTATATATACATACATGCACATACATATGTTCATATACATATAAACTTATGAATGCCAGTCCTGGAAAGTTGGTAAGTAGGCAGGAAAAAACCCAAATGCCTAACCCCAGAGATGTCGTAGTTTTACAGAACTAAGAAATTGATGTTATGGTATCACAATCGACATCACTGCATATTGGTCATTCACATGCAGGCTGAGTCCTCCGATACAGCAGCCACTCCAAGGTACCTCTACTAGTCTAAAAAAAATATGTAATTTGTTCGTGCCCCACCCCCCCTCTCCCCGCCTTCTGGGCTACTACCTGAAAGTTTAACCATTCTGTGACTCAAAGAGTCACATACTGGATGGCAAACCAACAGAGCAAGCCTCATGTACCCTGTTCAACTTCCTAAGAAGTTATAATTAGGGCAGAAGTGACATATATACCAAGTACTACCTGGTACACCTGGCTAACCAAAATTAAATTTCTTAGAAGTGATATTAAAAGTATCATACCCCCAGGATAATCCGATTAACAAATGCCTGAAGAAGTTGGGATGTTTCGGCTAAAAAAGTGAAATTTTTACAGCTACCTTGTAAACAGGAACAGCAGTGTGCATTTTACTCCCCCCCCCCCCCCCCCCCCCCCCCCCCCCCCCCGTTCCCCCTTTCCCAATCAGATTGGCAAAGAAGCCAAACACAAAGACAACTTTTTTAAAAAAAACATTGCAAGGAGACGATCATCACTTTTGGCTACATTACGTGAAGAGACAATTTTAAACATATAAGAATTGGAAAGTTAATGGAATAGATAAAGGAAGACAAAGGAGATTTTTGGCATCTTTTCATGACATGGAAATTGTCAGCACATACACTGATGTATTCTGTTTTACATTTTTATGTGTAAAACAGAATACATCAGTGTATGTGCTGACAATTTTTTTATGTGTGGAAAGGCAATGATTCCCACACTGGTAGTAGGCAAGGCACCTGATGATGATATGATCATGTTGGATTAATTTTTAATTGTATTGTTTATTATTTTTTTTATAATGCAGGTTTTTTGTCAATGGGCCTCTAATTCACCACTTCTACATTTTTCTGGAGAAAGCCTTTCCCAGAGACAAACCAGGGGCTGCTCTGAAACGTGTTCTGTTTGACAGACTTGTGTTTGCTCCACCTCTGCTGCTGCTGTTTTTGTACTATGCTTCAATCATTGAGGTTTGTTTAGTTAGTTAGTTAGTTAGTCCTTCCTCTTGGGCCTAGGGTGGCGCATAGGGCAGAGGATTCATATTGGTATACAAGTGTTCTTTGAGGCAATACTAGCTGCAGGATGCATTTCATTACATGAAGAAAGGAAAGACACCTGGACCAGATGACATTACACGAAGAAAGGAAAGACACCTGGACCAGACAGATGACATCACATGAAGAAAGGAAAGACACCTGGACCAGATGACATCACATGAAGAAAGGAAAGGCACCTGGACTAGATGACATCACATGAAGAAAGGAAAGGCACCTGAACCAGATGACATCACATGAAGAAAGGAAAGACACCTGGACTAGATGACATCACATGAAGAAAGGAAAGGCACCTGGACCAGATGACATCACATGGAGAAAGGAAAGACACCTGAACCAGATGACATCACATGGAGAAAGGAAAGACACCTGAACCAGATGACATCACATGAAGAAAGGAAAGACACCTGGACCAGACAGATGACATTACACGAAGAAAGGAAAGACACCTGGACCAGACAGATGACATCACATGAAGAAAGGAAAGACACCTGGACCAGACAGATGACATCACATGAAGAAAGGAAAGGCACCTGGACTAGATGACATCACATGAAGAAAGGAAAGGCACCTGAACCAGATGACATCACATGAAGAAAGGAAAGACACCTGGACCAGATGACATCACATGAAGAAAGGAAAGGCACCTGGACTAGATGACATCACATGAAGAAAGGAAAGGCACCTGAACCAGATGACATCACATGAAGAAAGGAAAGACACCTGGACTAGATGACATCACATGAAGAAAGGAAAGGCACCTGGACCAGATGACATCACATGGAGAAAGGAAAGACACCTGAACCAGATGACATCACATGGAGAAAGGAAAGACACCTGAACCAGATGACATCACATGAAGAAAGGAAAGACACCTGGACCAGACAGATGACATTACATGAAGAAAGGAAAGACACCTGGACCAGACAGATGACATCACGTGAAGAAAGGAAAGACACCTGGACCAGATGACATCACATGAAGAAAGGAAAGGCACCTGGACTAGATGACATCACATGAAGAAAGGAAAGGCACCTGAACCAGATGACATCACATGAAGAAAGGAAAGACACCTGGACTAGATGACATCACATGAAGAAAGGAAAGGCACCTGGACCAGATGACATTACATGAAGAAAGGAAAGACACCTGGACCAGACAGATGACATCACATGAAGAAAGGAAAGACACCTGGACTAGATGACATCACATGAAGAAAGGAAAGGCACCTGGACCAGATGACATCACATGGAGAAAGGAAAGACACCTGAACCAGATGACATCACATGAAGAAAGGAAAGACACCTGGACTAGATGACATCACATGAAGAAAGGAAAGGCACCTGGACCAGATGACATCACATGGAGAAAGGAAAGACACCTGAACCAGATGACATCACATGAAGAAAGGAAAGACACCTGAACCAGACAGATGACATTACATGAAGAAAGGAAAGACACCTGGACCAGACAGATGACATCACATGAAGAAAGGAAAGACACCTGGACCAGACAGATGACATTACATGAAGAAAGGAAAGACACCTGGACCAGATGACATCACATGAAGAAAGGAAAGACACCTGGACCAGACAGATGACATTACATGAAGAAAGGAAAGACACCTGGACCAGACAGATGACATCACATGGAGAAAGGAAAGACACCTGAACCAGATGACATCACATGAAGAAAGGAAAGACACCTGAACCAGACAGATGACATTACATGAAGAAAGGAAAGACACCTGGACCAGACAGATGACATTACATGAAGAAAGGAAAGACACCTGGACCAGACAGATGACATCACATGAAGAAAGGAAAGACACCTGGACCAGATGACATCACATGAAGAAAGGAAAGGCACCTGGACTAGATGACATCACATGAAGAAAGGAAAGGCACCTGAACCAGATGACATCACATGAAGAAAGGAAAGACACCTGGACTAGATGACATCACATGAAGAAAGGAAAGGCACCTGGACCAGATGACATTACATGAAGAAAGGAAAGACACCTGGACCAGACAGATGACATCACATGAAGAAAGGAAAGACACCTGGACTAGATGACATCACATGAAGAAAGGAAAGGCACCTGGACCAGATGACATCACATGGAGAAAGGAAAGACACCTGAACCAGATGACATCACATGAAGAAAGGAAAGACACCTGGACTAGATGACATCACATGAAGAAAGGAAAGGCACCTGGACCAGATGACATCACATGGAGAAAGGAAAGACACCTGAACCAGATGACATCACATGAAGAAAGGAAAGACACCTGAACCAGATGACATCACATGAAGAAAGGAAAGACACCTGAACCAGATGACATCACATGAAGAAAGGAAAGACACCTGGACCAGACAGATGACATTACATGAAGAAAGGAAAGACACCTGGACCAGACAGATGACATCACATGAAGAAAGGAAAGACACCTGGACCAGATGACATCACATGAAGAAAGAAAAGGCACCTGGACTAGATGACATCACATGAAGAAAGGAAAGGCACCTGAACCAGATGACATCACATGAAGAAAGGAAAGACACCTGGACTAGATGACATCACATGAAGAAAGGAAAGGCACCTGGACCAGATGACATTACATGAAGAAAGGAAAGACACCTGGACCAGACAGATGACATCACATGAAGAAAGGAAAGACACCTGGACTAGATGACATCACATGAAGAAAGGAAAGGCACCTGGACCAGATGACATCACATGGAGAAAGGAAAGACACCTGAACCAGATGACATCACATGAAGAAAGGAAAGACACCTGGACTAGATGACATCACATGAAGAAAGGAAAGGCACCTGGACCAGATGACATCACATGAAGAAAGGAAAGGCACCTGGACCAGATGACATCACATGAAGAAAGGAAAGACACCTGGACCAGATGACATCACATGAAGAAAGGAAAGACACCTGAACCAGATGACATCATGTGGAAGAAATAGAAGATTTAGCCCATTTTAGAATTTAAATAATAACACTATTTTTTTAGTGCATAACAGTTGGTACACTTCTAATTATCTATTAAAATCCATATTGATTGTTTTGCCACAGAAACCAGGCACTTAAAAATGTGAGCTGCAGCTTGGATTAGAATCCACATCAATGTGAATTTTCTTCAGAATTGATTTAGCTACCTCCTTGTGTGGGTTTCGGGACCTCATTCTATGGTAAAACAAGAATAGACCCATTGCCTCCCCAAAAGCATGTCATGGGAGTCAACTAATTGGGAGCTTGCTTCAAAGTTGGAGTGCATCTGCATGAGAGGGGCAATGAACTAACAGTTTCCTTACACATTCAGATCTGTAAAACAGATGTGCACACAACACTCAGGTTCTGGAACAGGACCCAGAGGTGGACAAACAACAAGAACATTCTGCCAGAGTTTTCAGCTGGTGAACATGAAGAAGAAGAATATCTAGCCACCAGATCAACCCTGGCTAAAATGAATACTGGGTAGTGTCCTGGAAAGTAAAGGTGGCCGGCAATAAATTGGTCATGTCACCCACAGAGTGTCAATGGGTTTATAAAAAATACGAGTAGCGTCATCTGTCTTTTGCTCCACTGGCGTAAAGGGTCCTTTCCTTCCAGATCTGTATCCAGAAGTGGACAAAAACCAGAACTTTCTGAGTTTACACCCATTGACCAAGAAGAAGAAGCCAGAAGTGTGTCAGTGCACAAACTGATACATGCGCTGGAAATCACTGGTTGTGGAAAGGCATGATCGCCCACGCCAGTCAGCAAGGGATTTCATGATGATGATGTTAACTGACTTGACGTGCTCTGACTTCCTGGACAGGGTGTTGGCAATAAGGGAGCTGTGAAGAGGATCAAAGACACTTACTGGATGATTCTTCGGTTAAACTGGACGGTGTGGTCACTGATACAGTATGTCAACATTAATTACATTCCTTTGAAGGTGAGTTGTGTATGTTTTAGTTTACATGCAGGATTTTTTAAAACATTTGCTTCCAGAACAGTAACTACATTTCTCTGAAGGTGAGTTGTATGTTTTAGTTTATGTACAAGGATTTATAAACAACTTTTTGAACTGTCCCAATTGACACATATAATTCTTTCACTAGCAGAAAATTGCTATGACAAAAGTTTATCTGTATTGCTGCATCCATTTTGGCGAAAGTTGTCTGTTGCAACAGTATGCATTTACCCTACTTGTGGAAGATCTGTCACGAAGTCAGTTTCTTTCCTAAACATTTGTGCCCAGTCTGTCACTCTTGTCTTCAAGACACTTTTATTACTGTACATTGCCCAAATTCTTCAACGATGTCCACTGTTCAACACCCTTTAAATGAGAGAAACTGAATGACCACTCTTTGAGCTTCTCTGGACTGATTTTAGATCAACCTAGCCATTTTTGTAACAGTCAAAACTGGAAAGAATCCATCATTGGATGATAAGTAAATGCTTTTTTATTCAGTGGTCAGTCCTGACCACATGAATATGACATGAAGGTGTTCGCCCAAGAAATTATGTGAGGTGAGGCACAAACAGATTTTAGGCGAACACTTCTTTAATATTTAAAAGTCCTTAGTCACCACTTCTTTATGATACAAAAACTGTCCTTAAACATGAAAATGTATATACTCAATACATAATATCTTACAATAAATAACATGAACATTTAAGAGACCTCTTCAACCATTTCCTTTCAGTAAATAACGAGCATTTAGAAGACCCCATACACCATTCCCTTACAGTAAATAACGAGCATTTAGAAGACCCCATACACCATTCCCTTACAGTAAATAACATGAACATTTAGGAGACGCCATCTGCAATTTCCTCACAGTAAACAACATGAATAAACAGTGATGGAAGTTGCAGTTTGTTAAAGGCGAGGCAGGGGTCGGCCACCGCGAAGATGAATACAAGACATTGAAGATGTATTGGCATTGAAAGCACATGGCGCTGGAGAGCTGGCTAGAGAAAGGGATACTTTCAAATGTGCTGTGAAGAGAGTGACGTTCTGTACAGGACTTACTGATTGATGATGAAATAACATTAACGTTGGGCAGACTTTATCTCCCTTTAATAAATAATAATAATAATCTGATGCATTCTTCTTAAAAAGGCAGTTGGCACGTTGTTTTATGTTTTATAGCTAGTGTACAACATACTTATTTTCAGCCCAACACATTGAATTTCAGGAAAGTGCCAGTTAGTCACCTTTTTTTATGTGTTTGTTAGGAACAGTGGGTTTTCTTTCCCACCCAGATTGCGGCACCAGAACTCACAGGGGAATAATAAATGATTTAATTTGTGAGATACCACTTGTCATTTCCTTTTAACAAACAAAACATTTATAATTGTTTCAGTATCGTACCTTGTTTGGAAATTTCTTTGCCCTGATTTGGATGATCTTCATTTCAATTAAGCGGAGACAGGCGACTAAGTGAGCTACACTTCATGTCTGTTCTTCACCTGAACATGTCAGCCCAATGTATTCAAGAAATAGGAATTCTGTAATTATCTTCTGCATACATTTGTGAGTTATCTTTAGAGTTACCCTCACAATACTCCCAATATACATTCCTTTGTATGATATAACTAAACTTTTAAATGATATTTATAAAAGTGGGCATATTCCAAATGACCTTTTAAAATCCATATTTATAGCTCTGCCAAAGAAACCAGGCACTGTAAAATGTGAAGACCATAGCACAATAAGTCTTATGAGTCACATGACTAAGATTTTACTGAGAATAATTATGAGAAGAATAAGAAACAAAATTAAACCAGAAATCAGCGATGAACAATGTGGATTTGTAGAAGGAAAAGGTACAAACAATGCCATACACATCCTAAGGACATTGTCAGAAAGAGCATTAGAAGTAAAGACTGATTTGTACATATGCTTCATAGACTATACAAAAGCATTTGTGTGAAGCATGAAGAAGTAATCAAACTGTTAGAAAAATTAAACATTGATGGGAAAGATCTACGAATAATAAAGAATATGTATTGGCAGCAAACAGCAGCTATAAGAATAAACAAGTGTTTAGGTTCATTTCAAAGCATAAAGAGGGGCGTACGACAAGGATGTGTGCTTTCACCTGATTTGTTTTCAATATACAGTGAATATATAATGAGATCTTTAGTTGATATGCCCGGAATTGTGGTTGGTGGGCACAATATAAACAATTTACGTTATGCTGATGACACAGTCTTGAAAGCAATAAGTCAGAAAGAATTACAGGAAATGATAGACATTGTGGTGTTAGAAAATGGAAGAATGGGCCTCAGTTTGAATAATGGGAAGACAGAAGTAATGGTGGTATCAAAGAAACAAATTATTCCTAAATGTGTAATAAAAGTCAATGGTGTTATTTTAGGACAAGTACAGAAATTTTAGTATCTGGGCACATGGATAACATCAGATGGAAGATGCATAACTGAAATAAGAAACAGAATTGGACAGGCAAAAACTACATTTTATAAAATGAAAAACATCTTGTGCAATATATCCTTGTCATTGAGAGTTAGAAAAAGAACTCTTGCTTGCTACATACATCCAGTTTTAACATATGGCTGTGAATCCTGGACAATCGGTAGGCAGGCCAATTTTTAGAGGCCTCAGAGATGTGGTTTTACAGAAGAATGCTTAGAATACCTTGGACAGCCAAAAAGAGCAACCAAGAGGTTTTGAAAAAGGCGGGAGCCCGAAGACAACTTATCACAGACATCAGAAGGAGACAGTCATCATTTTTCGGCCATGTTATGAGAAGAGGTAAAATAGAACATGTGGTGACCACTGGAAAGATCTGTGGAAGGAGAGATAGAGGAAGACCACGAGAGAAGATTCTTGACAGTCTTGTTGCACGGCATGGAGGTGTGTCGGCACATGAACTGATACATGCTGCAGGAGATCGCAGATTATGAAGAGGCATGATCGCTCACCTGATGATGATGATGATTGTATGATATTTTAGATTTATTTTGTAATTGTTTGTGAATATGCAAATGCACATTTTTGTTATATTACACCTTTAGCAAGTTTAGGAGTCAGGGTTATCACAGTGGTTAAATGCTTGCTAAAGGTCTTGAGTTCAGGTCTGCACTGATGCCAGTTGCTTTCTCAGTGTCACTTCAGCAATGTTTTTTTTTTATTCACTGTTATAATTTATAACACTCATGATATTGTGTTGTTTATTCCTTCTTCTTATTATTAATTTTATTTATTATGAGAAAATAAACATATTAAAGATACCAACAACAGAAGAGGTAAATTTCATGCTATAGAACAGACCAACAAAAGTAATAGACCATTTCAGCTATTTGGGTAGCAAGTTTGACTCACAAGAAGATACAGCAAAGGAATTTATGATGCACACTGGCAAAGCAACAACAGTCCTTAAAAGCCTTGACAAAATGTGGAGCTCCAAGCTCTACAGCATTAAGACCAAACTACAAATCTTCAATTCTAATGTTTATTTTAATTCTGACATTTGCCAGCGAAAGTTGAACCACCAAAGATATGGAACAAAGGTTAAATACATTTGAAAATAAATGTCTGAGAAAAATCATGAACATAAAATGAGATGAATTCAAAAAGAGTGAGGAGATCAGAGACATGTCTGGACTATTACTTGTATCGACTGCAGTAAGACAGAGATATATTAGACACATTCTGAGATGAAATGAGCAAAGAATTACAAAACAGGCACTGAAATGGGAATGAGAGAGAGAGAGAGAGAGAGAGGGAGGGATGGAGAGGAGGGGGGGGAGAGAGAGAGGGAGGGAGGGAGAAAGAGAAAGAGAGAGAGAGAGAGAGAGAGAAAACGTTCAACAGAAACATTAAGATTAAACATTATTACGAGAAGTAAAAAATGCTGAGCTGAACTCCATGTCAAAAATCGACAAAGCTGCTTGCAATAGAGCAGAGTGGAAGAATCCAATGCAAGTCTATTGTGACATTTAATGGCTTACAAAGGATGATGATTTATTCAAAAATATTATGTGTCCAGTTCGCCTACAATGCAGAGTTGATTTGTTATCATCATCATCATATAGCGGGTCCTTTGCAGAACATCACTCTGAACTTGGCCAATCTGAAGGAAACTCTCTTGCCAGCTCTCCCTTCTCATGCACTTTCCTACCCCAGGGGTCACCTATATCCTGTGTCCATCTTCCTGCTTGTCAGCCCCTGCCCCTCTTTCCTGCTACCATGCCCTCTACTAGTATTCTTTCCAATTCAAGATGACAGTTGAAATGGCCAAAATATTTTAGTTTCCGAGACAAGATACTGTTTATTAGCCAATCTTCCTTGACGAAAGCTAAGACAGCGAAATGGAACAAATTCTGCAAGAGCGTTTGCTCCGAGGGATCTCTTGTGACATTCTGGCGCCTTCAACGGAGCATGCACTGCGCCGCACGACCAAGGGGTATCCCTGATTTTCAGGGTACAGACCTGATATGGCAGAGAACTGATGCTGACAAAGGAAAAACCCTTCTGGCGCGCTACTTGGAGCAAACTGACCAAAAAGACGAAGCTACAAGAATAGGGGTTAAGATGAAACTGTTGATGCTGTGCGAGAACACTGTGCTAGGCACTGATCTCACAATCACTGCAGCATGACGATGTAGGTGATGGCAGTGACGCAAGCGTTTGCCTGGCTTGAAACACAAAAATACACCTGTGTATGTATACTCAGTGATTCAATGAGTATGATCCGGAGGGTTCAGGCAGGTTCAGTGCGAAGACAATGGCTTGAATCATTACATTATTTTTGTTCCGGGATACGCAGGCGTCGATGGAAATGAAAGAGCTGACAGGTTGGCTGGATCCGCTATCACTACCGACGGTCGGCCTATGCTGATATTATCAATGCCCTCAGAGAAATGGGAAGGATAGAGGACTTTGGTGGCAGTGAATCCACATCACTCGCCAGAATGGCAGACTTGGGAATTAAGATCGGCACAGCAAAAAACGAGACGCACACCAGACACGCCAGAAGACTTGTTAATCAACATAGAACTGGTACTATTAGCCATCGGACGTTGGGGTTCATACTGAGGGGAGGATCTGAGCACCCATGGACATGTCCGGAGTGCAATGAGGATAACCTAACTAACTAACTAACTTCTTTGAGGCTTTGATTTTTTAGGATGTCAGCATTTCTCTTCCTCTCGGTCCATGGTATTCTGAGAATCTTTCCACAGCATTTGTTTTAAAAAAAAACCTATCTTGTCCCATAATGACTACAAGACAGTCCAAGACTCTCGTCTGTGTGTGGTTGCTACAGGGAAGACGCATGCTCTCAAAATTGTGACTTATTTCCTTGCTTGTCGGCATCTGTGGCTAAGGCGCTGCAAACGCGCTTCGTAATACCGGGTTCGATCCCAGCTGCGGGTCCTGTGCCTTGCATTGGTTTCGACCGTGGTATCGCGAATCCAACCGTCTAGAAAGCAATGGCAATTTACTGGACATAAATCTGCCTAGAAAAACCACAACAGCCACACACACACAAATGCTGGGGTTGGTTCTGCAGCATCCTTTAAAGGATACGCAACAAACTAACTTTCCTTGCTTGTGCTTAACCATTGACTGTTGATGCTGTTTAATCTTTGCACTTGTATGGCTTCCTAATGTTGAAGTCTCTATTGATGTTTATTGTTGAGTATGGATTTTCAAAATATTTGTGTATAGTATTGCTGAAAATGTGGAGTTAATGTTGAAAATGTGATTAAATTAATTGTATACGAGTGGTTTGCTTTCATCTTGTATTTATTGTTTTCCATTTTGCTGATTTAATTTTAAAACTCGTCATCTTGAGCTGCGTGGCTAGATACACCTGCTTGCTGGCTCAAAGGTCTAAGGTTTACATCCGCATGTTTTTTTTTCTTCATAACTGCACTAGGACTCCCAGGTCGATTCAGCCTCATGTATTCTTAAAAAGACTCTGGGAAGTAAAAGTGGCCAGCGTGATGGTGACCACATAACTCGACACATGCTGGTTGGTTATTTTGGGTGTAACACCATATGCCTCATGGCCACACTGGCATGTGAAAGTTCCTTAACTTTACTTTGTTGATTTACCAGAATTCTTTCATTGACACAGATGGGTCTGTGGTTGGCCACGTGAGAAGAATGTGGGATTTTATGGCTCAGGTTGGAGTTAGAAATGTAAAGCAAGATTCTGGCGCTGCTGCCTTGGCCACGGGTAGTCTGACTATGGAAGTCATAGTAGTGACCAAAGCAATAACATGGCTGGAGACACAGACCTTTACCCATGCATGTTTTCCCAATGAGTATGCTCAGAAAGATAGCTCAGTCCGAAGACAGTGGTTGGAGTCTCTGAGGAAGTCAGGGCTGACAAATATTAGTTTCATATTTGTGCCAGTTCACGCAGGCATGTAAGGAAATGAGCAAGCAGATAGGCTTGCAGGTAAAGCTATC